ACTTCAAAAACACTTCACTGATTTAAACTTTTCATATTCTCAGCTAAAGATGAAAATGAACTGACAGGTTCATTCAAAGTCTACATTTAAAAATGTAATTTCTAATAAACATTTTTTGCACTAATGCTTTTTTTGAAAGCACCTGCAAATAGATTTCTTTTTAGGTTTTTTTTCCCTCCATCTATGATGTTCTACTTGAAATTTCTGGACCTAGTTAGGTCAGGACATTGCTCTAGAGTGGATCTTAATAAGTTACTATGGCAACTGCTATTGTAGAGGGAGCCTTTGAAACATACAAATGTGAGACTCCGTTATAGCACACCTGTCAAGCTCAGCACATCAAATAATTGCAGTCAGGGAAATGTACTAATTTAGTCATTATTTACCAAATCAGTCATTGCTAACATGTTAAACAGCTGTTTCCCCTGTAGCTAACTGAATTGTGTTGACCGGAGACTGCAACCGCTGTTTTAAGAGTTCCCTTGGCATCAGATTTCAGTATGTGCTACATTTGTTATCTAGATCCTGAGAAATAAAAACTAGAAGGGTTATAAAATCAGTATGATTTAGGAATAGTGTGTTTAATCACTATTACAATATTACAATTGTTGCGATTTGTTTGCATAAAGTGTTATCAAAATAACTTTTAACAAATTTTATTATATGGTTAAATTTGTTTAACATTAGGTATCATGCACTATCGATTTTATAGCATTTATTCATATTGATTAATGTTAATTTCTACATATACAAACACAATTTTCATGTGTAATAGGATGTATTATATAACAATAATAATATATTGAACAAACATTAACAAGCAACAGTTTCAACACATTTAACCTAGATTAATTAATGCTGTAAAATGTGTTGTTTATTGTTAGTTCATGATACGTAATACATTAACTGATGCACTAAAAAACTTCCTGTAAAGTGGTTTTTTTACAGTTTAGGGCGATGCAGATGGATGAATTTCCTTTGCAGTAAGCTGTTTTATGGATTATATTTGGGGGAAAAATCTGAACATTCCTGCTTCACTCTGCCTCTCTTTGCCACATGCACACAGTTACGTACACACAAACAAACACACACACACACATCTCTCACCAGGCAGGCCCTAATGCTGGGCATCATGAATTATGGAGAGGGTACATGTGCAGCCGGATTCTCTTCCATCAATAAAACATCAGCATGGCCCTCACTAGAGTGCTGGGATAAGGAAGGATGGGATTGAATATGTGACTCTCTTTGCCATCTCTCTTGGTTCTCTACTTTCAATCTGTGTCCCCCCATTACTAGATTTTGTCCTGTGTGAAAGCAAGACTCTTTGTTGCTTTCTTGGCTCTGCTTTTCTCTCATGGTGTCCATCTTGTAGTCTTTAATCTCTTTCTCTTTACTGTCCTTTCTCCTCACTGCCTCACATTACAGATCACTCCAAACTCTTTTCTCCCATTTAAGCTTTCTCTATTAACATTCCTCTCTTCCATTTTCCTCTAATGGTGCTGGATAAAATGTTTTTTCATAATTCTGGACCTTTTTTTAATACCCTGTCACAACTGATTTCCAAAAAAAATCTATAGGAAACAAAGACTAAACAAGATTTAAATTGTACAGGTTCTTAAAGGAACAGTTTATCCCAAAAATGAAATATTGTCATCATTTGCTCACCCTCATGTTGTTCCAACCCTGTATGACATGCTTTCTTATGTGGAACATGAAATGCTCTCTTTTATATTTTTTTTTCTCAGTGAAGGTCAATGGGGTTTTGTTAAAGGGGTCATATGATGCTTTTTTAAAGATCATTATTTTGTGTATTTGGTGTAACAGAATATGTTGACATGCATTAATGTTCAAAAAAACAAAAGGAAAACTTGAAATCGCATCATATGACCCCTTTAACACTTTGTTATATGGTTAAACTCATTAACATTACCCAATGCATTTAGCATCAGGCTCTTAACAATTTTACATTTATTAATCTAGGTTAATGTTATTTTCTACATAAACTAATACATTTTTAATATTTCAAGCATGTTTTCTTTTTATATATGGAACCAGGAGATATTTTGAAAAAACAGTCTGCATGCTTTTGTCCACACAATACATGTCAATTTAGTCCAAAAAAAATGTACTCCATTGATATTAATTGTATGGACAAAAACTGTTCTTCACAATATATGCTTTTGTGTTTTGCTGAAGAAATTGAGTCATACAGGTTTGTAACAACATGAGGGGTGAGTAAATTATGACAATTTTTAGTTTTGGTTGAACTAGCCATTCAACCTGCAAATCACTGTACAGGCATCCTTGAGCCAGAACAATTGTTTTGCATCATCCCTCAAATTGTTCAGTTTCTTTGGTACACCATCAAACCTGCAAACAACTCAGTCCCCCTTTAGAATAATCCCTGACTTTTTTTGTATATGACTTTCCCATTTTGGAAGTACTACAATATCTGTTGCAGACCAAAGATCCAGTGTTTTTCTCTTCTTGACATAAGAACTCCTGCCAGAGTTGGGATACAGCCAAATCAATCAACTCTCAGCGAGGCAAGCTATTGATGTTCAATTCAGAGTGGGCTTAAGAAAAGCTAAATGAAAGTGTTGTAAATGTATCTTTTTGTATTTACAGCATAATGAGAAATGGAAAGAAGTGCAAGGGGGTTTAGAAAGTAGTAGTTACAGGTAAAAACTGCAGTAGAAATGGGATGATTAGGCAAAGGACAATTAAAGGGATAGTTCACCCAAAAATGAAAATTTTTGTCATTATTTACTCAGCTCCATATTGTCTCAAACCAGTATGACCGACTTGTGTCTGTGGAAAAGAAGATATTTAAAAAATGATTCAGTGTTGTTTTTTGTCCATACAATGAAGGTCAGTGGGGTCTAGTTTTGTTCTGGACCACATTGGCTTTTCATGGTATGAACAGAAACCGTTCAAAAATATGTTCTTTTGTGTTCCACTGAAGAAGGAAAGGCATTTGTTTGGAACAGCATGAGGGTGAGTAAATTACAATTTTTAAATCTCTTTAATACTGGTCTCAAAATGTTTTCTGCTCAACCACTCTGCTGAAATAGCTGTGAAATGGTGAATGGTTCAAATCTAATCTCCATCCCAGAATAGAGAGACTTAAGATGCAACAACATTCATGTTGAATCCTGGAGATGTGGGTTGGAGTTCACAGACATGGAACGGTCTCACTCGGGTAGCTTTTGAATGAAGTTCCTCAGTAAAGCGTCGCGATGTAACACACGATTGGGCAGATTGTGTTTTGACTGACAGTGAGACTCCATCTGTTGGGTTGGGCTCCAAGGCTGGGATGCACTACCTGCAGGGCTAATGCACGGCAGCTCCCAGAGGGACAGCCATCTCCTAAACCCCTCACCTCAGAATTATAGATACAACTCCTCATCTGAAACTTTCTCTTTACTTTCCCGGACGTGCCTCACAAATATTTCAGTGTGAGCAGTCTTGTGTGCACAAGTAGGTAAGAAAAATGTGGTGTTCAAGAATGTGCAATTGGAGCCATGCAAAATCAGCCATTTTTTTGCATGTCGATTGCAAGGACAATGAAACGATAAAAAATTGTTGGTTTGTTGGTTGGTTTGTTGGTCTTGGGAGTATATTGTGGACAACTAGGTGCAAACTACCTTAACTATCATCCAATTCTTGGTATTTCCCTCTGTGCTTTTGAGTTAACGTGAACTTCTGCTGAAGAGCATTTAGTGCCTGTATGTATGCGTGTTTGCATATGAAGGCTTCAGGAAAGGCCCACTTGAGCACTCGTCAGCACATAAAAGCTTTTTCTCGCAGGTCTGAGAGGCCTCCTGCATTAGGGCAATTAGATTTGAGCCCTGTATGCCTGGAGACAGCTAGAAGATTACACCTGCGTGGGTGTGATAGGGCGTCTGAATTTGTGAATTGAAAACACTACTGGAAAGTGAGACGTACACCAAGAGGATTATGGTCCAGATTTGAATCAAATGCACAGCATAGAGAAACTGCTATGTAAAAATTGACACATATTTTACTAATTATACATATTTTAATTTAGAAATATATACCCTATAGTTATCTATAGGTTATATCAACCTATATATGCTTTTATTTATTTTCTTAATGTTAGTGGACAGTATATTTATTTATTAAAATAAAATTAGTACAATTACATAAACTCACAATAGTGACATCATCATGATCATGAACCCCTCAAGGACAAGTGTTTCCTCTTTTTTGTTACCACTTTATCTTATGTATTAAGTTTATTAACCCTGTTAACCATAATTGATTATTGAAAAAAAAAGTATATTTATGGAAATATGAACAGTAAAAATAAACATCATTTAGTTTAGTGACCTTGCTCACTAGTTAACCCTGCTACCATCAAACTTATGTTTTTGCATATGTAATTTTCTGTTAGCCTACATCAATTTACATAATTTAGCTTGAGATGGCACAATGCAGTTTCTTAGCACTTAAGACGTTCGTTGTCTCTTAGGAATATTTAAAAATGTAAATAAATTACTTAAAAAAAAAAATATATAGGCTAAATGGCACCTGTTTCGTGGAATGACCCAAAGCACCTATCCGACCTGTTCTTGCATTAACTCGGAGGTTTGAAGTTGAACTCGGCGCATGTGGCATGTTGTGTGAGCTGACGTGATCGTACTGTAACGGAGCAGAGTAGGAGGGATTTGAGGGTGGGGGAGAGAGAGATCCGCGCATAGCAGCCCGCGCGGATGCTGCGTCCTCGGTCCTCAGCGCGCAGCTCAGTGAGGGAGCTCTCATCACACATCGCATATAAAATCCAAATACCGCATCACCACGCTTTAGCACCTCTTTGACCTCTTTTACACTTTCAAGAAGAAGCGTAAAAAGCAAACAAATACCTTTGCCTTTTTGATACATTGGTCGGGACAGTCATCTCAAAACGATGTCTCCATCTCTAATTTTTTTCCTCTGCGGAACCTCCATCTAACCAGGCAACTGCACTATTTTAGGATCCATCATCTCCATCCGTAGTAAACACGCTGCTGAACACCTGGGTGATAAAGGACGACATGATAACAGCTACTGAGTGAACCCAGCCGCTCCTGTGTTTCTCCAGGATATTCCCTTTTCCCAACAAACCACGGCAATGTCCTTGGAGCATGGCCTGGTGAGTATCTGATATTTACACCAGTCAGGATTTGTTTGCCATGGTAACAGTTGCCAGTTCGTTATCATTAACGTCCGCTCTCTGTCATACTGTTAAATTGTCCCTGCATACGTTTTTCTAATGCAGATCTCTTTGTCATGTATTTTGATAGCTGTCAAGCACGTAAAACTACTGCATTGAAGCCTTAATAATCTAATAGCTAATTATTCACAATTACACGTATTCTCGTCTATGAGGTGTTTTGTTGACTTGTGTTGGACTGAATGACTTCCCAGAATGTTCTGACATTTTCCTGCATAGAAAATATATCATGTATTCTCATTATGTTAAAAACAACAACAACAACAAAACCCACGTACATTTAGCTTATAGTTGTGTTGTTTTTGTCTAACATCTCTATGAGCGTGTGTACCTCGCATTGGTACCCGCACTGGTCACCTTGCGGAGGGGCATTGCGCTTGTTCTGGATGCGAGTGGCGCACCATCCTCTCACGAGCAGCATCTTCGCGCTATTAATTCAATTAACATCGCGAGCCGCTCACGGGACTCAAAAGAATCGCGTTTTGTTTGTAGCTATTCGAGCTGTCACGCTTGTTTTTGCGTGAGGACCGGTCGCCCTCTGAAGGTGACCAGTAAAGGTCATTTTATCGTGTAAAACAGCGCAATGGGAAGCACCTGACTGATGGAGCGCGGTGTGGGAACTTCACCGTCTGAGTTGCTCAAGGTGCTCTGCTTTCATTTTCCTTGTCAACCGTGCGGACTTTTTTTCCCTTCTCCTTCCTGCTGCAAGGTGTGCGAGTATGCTTGGGTGTGGGACGAGGAGAGGAGGGGTAGTTGTAGTCTCGCATGGCTCAGACAGCCCGGTGGTGACCGTGTATGAGTCCGTAAATCTATAGCCTACTCGACTCAGATTGGCCATTTACGTATGACCGTCAAAGCAGGATCCCAGTTCTGGGGGTTTACATCATTTCTTAGAGATTGAGACTGTTACACTGTGCTGTGTGGAGACTAAAGTGACGTTTCAAACATTTACCAGTGACTTGAAAAACACTAGTCACTACTGGCTGATCAATAAGTTTTTGTGTTCTTTTTTAAACAAATTGATGGCTGTAGAGCAGCATTTGATTCTCAGGCTAATTGATATACCAGGCTTCTTTGTGTTTGTGTGTTTGTCTGCTCAATTTAGGAGGGGGCCAGGCAGTGTTGTATATTGTGCCAGCCAGCAAATTGTAACATCATCAGTTTAACCAATTACAAATGGCCTACAGGGGTAAAATCAATCTCCCTGACACCATCCTCCTGAGGTGACAATAGACTGAGCGTAATATGAAGTATTTACAGGACAAAAAATTTTTGGGATAATTTTATGTCTGGCTTATTTGATTGGGGATCATGCTAATGAATGTTAAATTGCAAATACTTATGTTTAATTTTATATGTAACATTATACAAGCTTTTGTACGTTGAAAACTTATACTTGATGTGTAATAAAAATTACATACTTTATATATCAGTCAGGCATGAATACACACACACACACACACACACATATATATATATATATATATTTATATATATTCATATATTCCAATGTACGTTTCCTGGACTTGTAAAGACTGGGATATTAAATAGGCCTATATTTTAGTTTCACAACTCACCCTAGAAGTGTGGTATGTAGTTTTAATAGCATTTTTTTGTACTTGACATTAATTTACATTATTTTAGGGATACGTATTAGATTTGTGAACTAATTTCAAACAGACAAATGTGGGAATATTATGTCAAATTTTAAGACAAATCAATGAGCTAAACATTTAAGCAAAAATGTTTTACAATAGTCCTCTGTCTCTGATTTACAATGTTTATCTTATATATATATATATATATATAGATATGTATAGCTATAGATTTTCTCATTGGACATTACAATGTCAGTTCATGCTTTGGTGTTGCCCATTAAGGCTGTTGCTTGACTCTGTTTTTGATTCCCTCATTGTGAGTAAATTTATATCTTTTAGCATAGCATTTGTCTTATACAAATGTGTGTGGAAACATTACAGAAAGAGGAAAGAGTTGTTGGTGCTCCAGTTCTCTGTCCAGGTTGCCCCAGTTTGAATGCTGTTGTTGCAGCAATAAGGAAAGTTGACCTAGATGTTTGGACAAAACTGCAGCCACACTCAGTCTTATATGGACACATCGGATACATCGTAACACATGAATGGCAGAGCTGATGCTGGGTTAGATAACATGTATAGACCAGGGCATGATGAAAACAAATGACCCATGGTATGGTGGTTCACGGTTACATTTCATCTCCATGAGATAAAAATGTCTCTAGCCTGTTTGCAACACATAATTAGAACAAGAATCATCCCATCCTTGTGCATTCGGTCAACACTGCACAAATGTCTGGGCCATAAGCAGGTATTTAGAATCGAAGCCGAGCAGCTTATGTTACTCCTTACAGACTCTTACGCCAATGCAGTCCATGTCTCGCTTTGAAAGCCTGAAACCAGTGTAACGAATACAGGCCACTGCAGTGAAGGTGGATGGGAGGAGGTAAAAATGGAAGAGCAAAGAACAGATGGACAAAGAGAATAAGATTGAGGATAATGGAGTGCGTGTGGAGGGGGTTGGAATCTTATGAACTTATAAAGAGAGAAGGTAATGTTCACTTACAGTAGCATGAGTGGTTTTGTGCCCACACGAGAAGATAAGGGAGACATAATCATAAATGAGGTCATTCAAGCAGGTTTTGTTGTTGGGGAATGCGCATAAAAAGTTCAGAAATCGAGCTAATAGAAAGCTAATATCACATCCCAGCAGTTGCAACTACAGCTAGCATGTGTTCAGACTCCATAAGTGTCATGTCAAATGAGTATGTGGATAAATGACAGTAAAAAAAAAAAAAAAAGAAGGTCCAAAGCATATTATACAACATTCACCAGTGTTCAGAGTCATTGTGACCCAAGGCTTTTTTTCCCCAGTGAGTTGCCTTTTCTTAATTATTAACTTATGGCATATTCCAGAGGGAGTGTGTCTATTATGTCCTACTCCGGCAAAATCACCTTTTTCTCTCCCTCATTATGACACAGCACCTTCATTACTGTCACTGTGTTTGATCCTGATAGTAAAGCCCTGTCAGCAGCAGGCCTGTAGGCCTCTGTGCTGTATTTGCCCTTGTCACTGAGACACTACATAAACAGGGAGCTCATGGGAAGGAGATTTTATTTTCTGCTCTTTAAAAAAAGCAAAAAACCAAAAACTACAGGCTGACAATTAGATGGGTCCCGTAAAGTGTAGCTGAATTTGTCATTCTGCAGAAATAACTCAAGCAATGTCTGTCCACTCACATCAAAGCAGCACAGGGCTGGACTGATTTTTTTTATTTTATTTTCCTTTTTTATTCCCTCTATATCATTTCTTTTTGTTCCATTTTTAGAAACCGAACAGAAGGACATTTTTTTCTGATTAAAGAAACTCACTGACAGTAAATTAGTGTCATGGATGTCATTTGTTAAAGTGACAGTCCACCAAAAAATGAAAGTTCTGGCAACATTTCCTTACCCATAAGACTTTCTTTCTTGCGTGGAACAAAAAAAAAAAAAGAAATATTTAGCAGTTTACAGTAAAACTGGATTGGGGCTGTTGACTGTAAAAAAAAAAAAAAAAAAAGATGGACAATGCGTCTCTACTTCCTTCGTGAAGCCAAAACATCCCAGTATGGTCGCTGTCATCTTGTGAAAATGATGTCATTTGGAGCCAAAGTTTGCACAGTAGTGATTTGTTTGGAGCCCGAGTCTGCGCAGTACTGATTTTAAGGTGGAGCTGTAGTATCAAAGTCCTGCCTAAACTCCCGCAGACCCAATTGCAAGCACACAATTATGACACCATACCCCGTTTTTATAGCATCAAATAATAAACTAAAAGCAAACTTATTATAAAAATGAACACTTGAACATACGTTAATGTGATAAAAACTACCTAAAATTATGGAAAACATCTGGGAAAAATTTTTTTTTTAAGCTAGATTTGTTTACATGGTGAGGATGGGGTTTATGACCTATACTGCAGCCAGCCACCAGATGGCGATGTGTTTTGGCTTCACTTTTCAGGATGTGTGTGGCACACTTGATTGGGACCAGAGACAGTTTTGGTCCTCATTCACTTGTATGGAAAAGAGCAGCTTGCACAATATGCTAAATATCTCCTTTTGTGTTCCACAGAAGAACAAAGGGTCACAGCGCACCAAAAAAAAAAAAAGAAAGAAAATTCTGCCATCAGTTAATCACCATCATGTTGTTCCAAACCTGTAAAATATTCTTGCATGGAACACAAATAGAGATATTTAGCAGATTGTGCAAGCCACTCTTTCCCATACATTGAATCTGGATGGGGACCAAAACTGCAAAGAGCAACTTGTGCAATATGCTAAATATCTCCTTTTGTGAGTCATACGGGTTTGGAACAACATGAGCGTGAGTAAACAATGACAGAAATTTCATTTTTTGGGTGAATTTTTCCTTTAAGGCATCTCATGTCTGTTCAGATTCGGTTTGTTTATGCTTTAAAAGCTTCTTTCCTTTAGGCCTATTTTAATCTGCCTTGGTCACAATAGTCTCACAGAACTGGTGTTCATATTTGTTTTTATTTGGTAGGTGTTGAGGGAATATGTGTCTTCATTTTCCCATGGAAACTGTCATGCCTTGTTAAACAAGTCATTTCAGCTGACGTCTGAATGCGAGTGGACGGAAGTGCGGCTAAACTACTTCGCTCAGTGTGTGTTCAGACTCTGTCAGTGGCCTGTCTCTGTAATAAGAGTGAAGTGAGCAGCATACTGACTCATCGACCCTTGTTCGCTTTTTATTTAATTTATTTATTTATTTTTGTGCCGGAGACATCTTGATTTTGAATGCTGCCAGTTAACAAAGTAATCTCCTGCATTGTTTCACAGTGCCAGATCACTGGCTCCTGGTGTCATAGACTGGTGTAGTTTTTATTTAATGGTTGAATATGGGTTAAAGTTTCTTCTAGTTTTAGGGGGTTGTGTTTGTGTGTGTGTCTGTGCCCGCGAGTGGGTGTGAGCGTGAGTACTTCTCTGTTGGTTACTTAGACACATTGCATAAGGCGCTGAACAATTTATGTAATGCTGGCCCCTCTGTCTCTCCCTTTTAACTTTAGCAGATTGGGTTGTGTCGTGGTAGTCAGGGCTGGTCAGGGCAAGGCAAGCCTGGGAAAGCTCAGTACACTATCAACAGTGTCTTACCGGATGGCACTAGAGCACACTTGCTGAAAGGTTTGGGAAAACACGGATCAATATGAATATTCAGCATAATCTCCAGACCATCTGCCTCCTGCACACTGAACATAACTACGGTTAAGCAGTCTCTTGGTGAGGGAAATCTGGGGCTGCATAGATGCTAAAGTGAATGTGACTGATGCCAGCAAGTGGCCCCAAAAGATGCAAATATGCTCAAGTGCATAAAAATATAATAATAATGGAAGGTCTGATTTCATATCTGACATGTGACCAGGCCCAGGTAGAATCTGCTGCAATCTGATTTGCTGGCTTTCATGTTCAGAGGCTATACCGCATTGATGCAATGATTGTTTTTGAGGGAGAACTAATTCACTAGATTTGCAAGGTTAGTGGCATTAGTGGCCTTATATTTACCGTTTTTCTAAAAACGGTACACAAAAAAATAAATACTTTTATTGAGAAAGGACGCATTAAATTTGTCAAAAAATGTCAGTAAAGAAATGTATAAAGTTACAAAACATTCTTATTTCAAATAAATGCTGTACTTTTGAACTTTCAAATGTATCACATTTCTATTTCTGCTAAAATATTAAGCAGCACAACTGTTTCTACATTGATAATAATAAAAAGTGTTTTTTGAAAATCAAATGAGCATATTGTGATGATTTCTGAAGGACCATGTGACACTGAATACTGGAGTAATGACTGCCAAAAATTAAGCTTGCCATCACTGTAATAAATTACTTTTTTAAATATATTGAAATAGAAATTGTAATAATATTCATAAATATTATTGTATTTTTGATCAAATAAATGCAGCCTTGATGAGCATAAGAGACTTCTTTCAATTTAACGATTATTAATTTTGGATGGACAGAAATGCTTCTGTTATCTGTACAACCATTAATGGAGGAGACAATCTAACCACTATTAGCCTATCTTTTTTTAATTTTATATAATCATTTTCAGATGACCCTTGGCTCTAAACGCATACAAATTGAACTGTGGTTGGTCACATTACATGGCACTCATACTGTATTTTCCCATCTAATTAGGTGGTTCTTGGCCAGATTAAGCTGCAGTGAAGACCAGACTTTTTGCTGTCCTATTTGGGTACACGAGACTAACACATTCTCAGTTTGTTGTATGTTCATACTGTATATGTTACATTTTTGGATAATTTGCTTTCAAATAAGAGCATAGTACACTAAGCTCTAACACATTTTACTATGTTTAAATAAATTCCTCCGATCTTCCGCCAAAACTAATGCAGAACAGGTGAAAAATGTCCATAGATTCTGTCTGGGCATGTACGTGATACCTGATTATCTCTTGACTGTGCAGAACCTTACTTTTGTGCATATATGCAGTGCACCAGAGAAGAAGAAAGGAGGGGGAAAGGAAGGCTGGGGTTAGTGAGTCAGCATGAGAATGATGACACCCTCTATGTCACTCCTGCACATTACCGGTCCCATCTACCTACACACATACTCACACAGCACGCTGCATACCCCAGACTCATCACCATATAAGCAGTCTCGCATAGCCAGACTTTGACTAAACTGCATACGGCCTGGTCCACATCACAGCTTCTTCTGCACAAGAATCATTATTTATATGATTACACTAACTTGGCAAAAAGACTGATGAAAAAAAATTACAATAATGACAAGCATGAAAGCATGAAAAGTACATTTAAATATTTTTTTAATTAAATGGTTTGATACATTTTTACATTTTAAATATATTTTTAATTATTAAAAACTAATAATATTTATGAAATACATTTCCAATATTTAATATTCCAATATATTTAGCTACCCAGTGCCTAAACTTTGTTTCCAAAAACACTGTGACTTTACTCCTGTATTTTTTGCATATAATCAGCCAGTCATATTAGACCTTGCCAGATTGTGAAAGTTCTTTCCAGTTTTGTGTGCTGTATGCATCAGACCCACATTGAATGGACTGTGGGTGGTCTGTGGGTGTGCCGTCTGAGGCTGAGACTGTCATCTAAGAGAACATAGGGACATATACAGAGGCATGCTGGGAGATGGAAAAGAGAAATAGAGAAAGATGAAGTAAGAATATGGCATTAGGGCCAAAATGATAGTGAGGAAACTCTGCTAGTGTAGAGGTGTTTGTGAGCAAGTGTGAATAAGAACCAAGTGTATATGTGTGTGTGTGTTGGGGTATAGCGAGGCCGAAGGAGCTTTGTGGGAGTCAGAGGCATCTGTAGGTTTCCATGGCAACTATAGGCCAATGCAGTGGTCTGGATCGCTAGAGATACAGTATATGTTATATGCATCACCATCTGTGAGAGCACACATTCCTCATACTGTATACCACACTGTATGTCCAGGGAATTTAGTCGTGTTGCACTCGAAAATGACTGACCTGTCCGTTTAGCATAATTAATATTGCGAAGACCTGTCTAATGCCTCATTAATGAGAGTAAGGGAAGTGTGTGACTCAATTAAAACACAAAAGACCTTTGAATTGAGGTGAAAATGTGCTGATACGTTTGAAAGCATTAGCTCAGAGCCGTCTGACTGAAAGCTCGCTCCGTCTCTTAAGGAATGCCCACTGTTCTCAGAGTTGCTGCCCACACAAGCACTTTGAAGACTGTAATGTGTTATTCTGTCTGTGTGTCTCTGCAGGCTTCCTCACCAATCCCATCATCCCGCATCCTTTGAATCCTAACGCATCAGCGCTGCAGATCTACACATTATCCCGCTCGGTTTTGCACCCCCTCTTTGCTCTCGTTCTCTGTGTCCTGATGGATTGGAAGCGGCCCGATCCCTCGTTCTGTTGACCCTCAGGGTGAGGGGGTTGAGTGGAGAGGACAGGATTTCTCCAAATACACTAGAAGTGTCCTGCCGTTGTTGTCCCGATTTCCTCTGATGGAGAGTTAGAAGAACTCTGGGGAGGGAGAGGAGTGGAGGAGCAAACTCAAAACCAAAAAACTCAAGCCAAGAATCATCACTAATAGTGACCTCGTGTTGCTGAAACCTCCTGGACGAGAAGAAGTCATTTAGATCAAACTTCGTGGACCCAACACCCTAAGATTCAAGATGTCCACCACAGCGACCATGGGTGAGATGGCGAATAGCGCAGTGGAGTTTTACCCCAAGCGGGGTGGAGGAGGTGCAGAAGCCAACCATGCTGGAGACTTTGGGGTGACGTTGGAGGAGCTCCGGTCCCTGATGGAGCTGAGAGGAGCCGAGGCCTTGCAGAAAATTCAGGACAGCTTTGGAGATGTAGAACGCCTATGCCAGAGACTCAAGTCTTCCACCAGTGATGGTGAGAGAAATGTTTTGCTTTGCTGTCTTGATTTCTTGACATGTCATCTCATACATCTCATTTAGACCCTACACTCTTAAAAATAAGGTTCCAAAAGGGGGTTTCACAGCAAGGCCAAAGAAGAACCAATTTTGGCTCCCCAAAGAACCTTTCAGTGAATAGTTCTTCAAAGAACCATTTTTCTTAGTGTAAAGTACATTAAAAAATACGTATTCCACTATAACGGACCTTTTGTGCAATGGAAAGGTTAAGTGAATGATCTTCATGGAACCATAGATGCTAATAAATAAACTTTATTTTTTAAGAGTGTAGCACATTGTTCCTCATCACTGATGTGGAATCATCAGATGTAGCATATTTCACTTTGAGCTGGTTAAAGACGCCTTTAAACCCCAAATATGCCCCCTTTCTCTTTATTTCTCTCTCACCTCTTCACACTACTTGTCCACTACCTCTTTATCTGTCTCACTCGGCAAACTTCCCACTCTGAGTGCACGCGTCGTGTTGGGTTGCTAGGCGACGGTGCTGTCGGCAGTGAGGTGGGTGTAGAGAGAGGGGTTACTGGGTAAACAGAGTTGGAGAGACTCACTCACTAGAGTCAGTGGCTCGAAAGGTCCCCGCAGTGATCACAATTCTTGGCATATCCATCCATCCTATTCTGACTCGTAATTGAATGAGTTGCTGTGATGTTTTATACGCCATGATGACTGTAGATGAGAATTTAGATAACGGTGGAGATAATGCTCAGTCATGAGAAACCGATAAACTCAAAACTCAAATTGGATTGTACTGATTGTGAGTATTTATAGATTTATGACAAAGCTATTGCTTATAGTTCTTATGGATCTTTTGTTTTGCCGATATGATAAGCTCATAATTATTTTCATGTTACAGCCGTTTTTTAAATATTTTTATTTAGCCTTTTTTTGTCTAAATTAAAAATAATAAACTAATATTTAAAATGATTCAGTAGTACAAGATATATTTTGGCATCACAACATAATAATGTACAATATGAAAAATGAGATTTGCTAAAGATTACATTTAACAGTGTTATTAAATTATTAGTGTTAAGGTTATAAGATTACTTCTAAGTGAGTGTTAGATGATGGCTAAATTTCTCTAAACGTAAAAAATAGGGTAAATGAGCATGAACAATTAATTATCCAATACCTCAAAAAAGTCAGTATGGGGCAGACATATTGTGTATTCCTATTAGTATCCGCATTAACATGTTGTATGTAATATTGTATGAAAAATTGTTTTAGGCATTATGTTTTTTTATTTTTAAAAACTAAGAATTAACATCAAAGTTTTATTGCTCAGAGGTTGATTTTTCATAGCTCATTGTAGTATTATTTTTGTCTCAGCTGTTTCTCCTTAGATTCCTTAGGAGAAATGCTAAATGTTGACATATAGTAGAAGTAGAACTGGGAAAATTAATGTACAGTGGATAGTTAAGATAATTTGGTCTTGGAAAAACTGATGAGAAATCTTTGAGTTCAGTCTGAAATCTCTGACTTTTATTATTTTGGCTATTATTTTGACATTTATTATTTCAGTTTATTTGTTTTGATGTTGTTTAGATCTCTTCTGAAGCACTTCTTAGATAGACGTGAGATTACTAAGCAAATGTTTTCATTTGCTCTTTATTTAATCTCACTGGTGTCTAGGAGAAACATCTGAGATATTACAGAGGTTTCATGTGTGACTTTTTTTCCCTGCAGGATGTCAGAGAGGGGTGAATGCCTACCGTGCAGTTTTTGTTCAGTGGTTGTAGTACTGCAACCTGCTGTTGTGTAATGAGTGCCTCACCCCTCCCACCACTTTAAGGCCACAAACATATTCTTTGAATGTATACAAACATTGACCTAAATGTTTAGCCAATGCACTGAAACCCGTTGATCACGCATGCATACCTAAAAATTAATATCGCACTAGGAAACCTCAAGGAGGCGATAGAGTTACCTTTAAATATGTCTCCTTAAACTGGATGTTATTTTTCAGGTTTCAGCACCTGTGGCTATAAACATATTGACATGCTTAGTTTGATTCTCTTCAAATTGCTGCTTTGACCTGAAGGAGAAAGTGGACAATAAAAGAAGACAGTTAGGATAATGCTCATTATAGCGTCCCTTGTGGCCACACTGAGAATGCAATGCATAGTTGTGCTGTGTTATGAATGGACTCTATGCATGCCGACTGCTTACATATTTCTCCTAAAATCTAAGTGCTACATGCACTTCCAGCAGTGATTCTCATTCTTTTTTATGCCAAGGCCCCCTTCACAATGTCCACAACAATAATCAAAGACCCCAAAAAGGTTTCCCTATTTCTTTCTAATATTTTTTTTTTGTTCTACCCAACAAAATATTTTATAGCTTGGCATAATTGGAAAAATAAACATAAAAGTAAAACATCCCTTAAAATATTTCCAGAACCAATTGGTAGACCATAGTTTGGTAGCAGATTAGAAGTGTAAAACATATTACAACATGCCCAATTTTGATTTGTTCTTTTTTTTTTTTTGCCCCGTAATAATCAAATTCCCACCATCAGTTCCATTAAGCAGGAAGCCATCTTTCTGTGTGAGTCTTGAAGAGAGTCTTGGTCTTCATCCTATTGAAGAGAGAGCAGAAATTAAAAAGTGGAATCAAATATTAAATAGGTCTATTACTTAATACATCTCCTCAGACTGGAAAGTTTCTTTTTTATTTATTTTATTTAAAAAAAAAAATTTTAATTCAGAAAGTTCAGAATGAAAAAAGTGCAAGAATCTATTATTTGATTCACAAAAGTTCACTCAAAAATGAATATTCTGTCATGTTACTCACCCTCATGTCATTCCAAACCCACAAGTCTTTTGTTCATCTTCGAAAGACAAATGAAAATATTTTAAATGACACCTTTCTGTCTCTCCATTGAAGGTTGTTTACACCAAAAATTCAGTTCAAAAAGTTAATAAAAACATTGTAAACATAATCCATATGAGTCGAGAAAAATGCGATTGCTTTATATGATGAATAGATTTACATAGAGTATGAACATAAAGCACATCAAATATGTAAATAAGTCTAAATTAAATATTTTCGTCATATAACACAATCATGTCTTTTCACAAGACTTGGATTAAAGCGTTTGATTCATATCTATTTCTTTTAAGATGTTTTTATGAACTTTTTGAACAGGAAAACTTTTGGTTTCATGGACTGTCAGTGGAGGGACAGAAATCTCTCAGGTTTAATTAAAAATATATTAATTTGTTATTTGAAGATGAGCGAATGTCTCATGGGTTTGGAATGACATGAGGGTGAATAAATGATAAAAAAATAAGTCATTTTTGGGAGAACTATCTTTTTAAATAGACATGTTGTAATGATAATTAGACAGATAGCCTATGTGGTTGTGGTTGTTAGAATATCAGATGTTGCCTGCTATGTAAAACCACTTTCAGGAGATAAACCGGTCCGTGCTGCCTGAAAAAGTAGAATATTGACTTCTTTTCAGATTTTTGTTTATGACTTTTTGAACCTTTAATAAACATTTTCAAAATGCACAAATTAATATAGAAAAATGTAGAATTTACAATTTTTCTTTGGCCAAATTAGAAGTAATGCTTTTCCCGCAAGTCGTCTCTGAAACAATGCAGAGACCTAATACATTAGGCCCAGTGGTGTTTAAAGTACCTGAAAGCCATACTCAAGTAAAAGTACAGATATCTTACCAGAAAATGACTTTGGTAGAAGTTGAAGTCACCGTTTAGAATATTACTTGAGTAAAAGTCTTAAAGTATGTGATATTTATTGTACTTAAGTACGAAAAGTATTTTTTAAATCTTAAACATAAGTATTGAAAGTAAAAATACACGTAAATGCAAAATGGAAAAGAAGCAAATAAATATATATAAAAAATGTTCATACACGGCTTGAGTAGCAAGATTGTGTTCAGTTTTAACTCTTTCTTCCATTTTGTATTTTTGGGTAAGAATAAGAAGCACTTCATCCGGTACTTAGTGTCTTTCATTCCAACATAAGAAAACATTTCTGGAATCTGCATCTGAAATAGCATTTAGATCTATTTACACAGCTTATGTATCTCAGAGGGGACATGGATGCATTTAAACCACAGTTACAGATGCATAAATAGGCCTAATGTTTTGTTTTTAACATAAAATGTTGAATACTGATATTTGAAATAATTTAAAACATGAAAAAAA